TATAAATATAAAATAACCTAGAGATAAAAGTATAATCTCATACCCGGAGCCAGACTCTGAGCCTCATCCCAGCTGAAGTGAAGGGGGAATTCTCTGAGGTGAAAATTCCTTCCTTGTTTGTCCCTCGAACAAGAGATTAGAGCAGAGAAAAAGCAAGGCCACGCCTTTTGCCTCATTCACTGCACTATGAAGCAGACACCACAAACATGTGACCACCACGATGAGATGTTCCTCTTACTTGCTACGTTGCAAATAAGACATCTTAAAGAAAAACTTCACCTTCCAGTTTGGAGGAGTGAGGGGAAAAAAAGGAATATGTTGTAAATAGATTTAAGTCTACTATCTCTAACACACACTTCGTTGCAAACTGTTTCTACGATAAGCAAACGAGAGAAAGACTCCTACAGCCAGGCCATCTGTGCCCTCTCAGGGACAGTCTTCAGTGCACCCTGAATGTTCCCTTTCCTTACACACAACGCAGAGGTGCAACCCCTCTGCACTGAGCTGTCATTGGAACACATTGTGCAGCTGAAGCTAAAATCACAGTGATAGAGCCAATGAGGTTCAGATGGACTTTCATATAGGACTGTGCTGTCTCTCAACCGTTTGGCTGACCAAGAATTTAAAGGAAGAATGTTCCCTCTGTCTGATGAAACATAGGGAACCACAGAAACTGGACCATGTGATGTTTCCAAGTTATCATGAGATAGAAGAAGATTGCAGGTACCTCCAAACTTGCAGGAATGACTTTCTAACTCACAGGCCCAGGACACTAAAAAAGAATAAACCCTCCTCCAGTCTGGTATTTTCTGGCTCTTCCCTGTGCCTATGTATGTCATCTGTCACTCTTCTGAGCCTCCAGTCAGCTCTTGTCCCTTTACTTTCCCACTTCCTGGAACTTTCCCTTTACTTTCCCACTTCAAGCAAATAAGTGCTGTGCTTTCGGGGTCAGGTCAGTGGTGTCTGTTATTGCTGCTTCTCTTGTCTCGTGTGTTTTCTGTTTTGTTTTGGTTTTAGTTTGTTTTGTTCTGCCACAGCCTTCAATGAGAAGAAGGTTGCTGTAGGCAGGTGTCACCTGACTAACCCCCGACCCAAAGCCTAATAGTCCCCATGTTGATTAACAAGAATGGCTCCTATATACTTGAATACTTGCTCCCTAGTTGATGGAGCTCTTTGGGACGAATTAGAAGGTGTGGCCTTGTTGAAGGAGATGTTCCACTGGGGTGGGCTTTGAAGTTTTAAGAGTCCATGCCATTCCCAGTTAGCTCCCTCTGCCTTGTGGTTGTGTCTCAAGACATGAGTTCTCAGCTATTGTTCCAGCACCATGCCCACTTGCCTGTTGCCATTCTCCCCCCGATGTTCCTGAACTCTGACTCTCTGGAGCTGTGAGCCCCAAACACATGCTTTGTTTTATACCTTGCTTTGGTCATGGTGTTTTACCTCCAGCAATAGAGACAGAACTAGGACACTTGCCCTCCACAAAGTGACCCACTTCCCTTGCATCACTGGCTCACGGGCAGCACTTTGCTGATAGACACTGTCTCTGGAACTGTGGGAGAAATAGTGATACCACTAGACACCTTTTTTTTCAATAAAAGCTGCATTTTGAGTGTGTATAGTCAGTCTTGTAAAAGCATTCCAGCTATCATCCTCCTAGACAAATATGGAGGCTGATGGACGCAAGTAGCGTTGTAGTTATAATGCACAGCAGACTTCTGAACTTCCTTACATGGTGTTCTTGGAACACTTATGTTAGATCTGTTCACCTCCAGATGTTCTTGCTGAAGAGCCCACCCTCCCACCCCCACCCCAGCCCTGCCTCAGTCCCTTACCCTAGCCACCATCCAGCATGTGTCAGCATGTTCTTTTCTGGTCCTTGCTTTATCTGACTTTCTTAAGCTTGAATTCACCACCCAAAACTCGTGTTAGTCCTATTAGATCATGTACCCTGTGTTCCGCTCAGTTGAGACAATGGCCACTGTCCTGTGCAGATGGAATCTCTGAATGAGAGGAGGCACCATCTTGGAGAAAATGCCTCCTCTGTAGGATATTAGAATGAAGAGAGGGCTACAGTTCTTTATTTATACCTGTGAAGGTGCTGGCATTTTTCAGACTTTCTAATTTTAGTTTTATCTTTGTTTCCACAGAAAGACCAGCTGTAAAAGTTCTTAAAGGGTCACTAGGCAGGAAGTGAGCAGGAGCCTCAGAGAGGGACTGAGATTAACCCTCGCCTTCATGTTGGTTTTGCATGGGTCTCAGGGCAGCACCTCCATGTGTGATTAAAATTCAAATAGAAGCCTCCTTCCACCATTCCCATCAGAGTCAGAAGCAATGGCTCCAAGAAACATGATCATTCTTTGCAATCAGAGTAGAAAATAGAAGCAAGTCGCTCTGACGGGAGAAGAACATTTCTTCAGGTCACCAATAAGAGCTCTGTCTGTGGCCTAAACCTAGCTTAGGCTCGGGGAAGAGTTCAGGTAAGGATCCTTCAGCGGATCCAGGGTCAGAAGAAAGCAGGAAACGGTTGCTGAGCAGCACGTTAGGAGACGTCTATATTTACCACATCTCCAGTCAATGCTATAAACTGCCTCTGTGAGCACTACAAGTCTGCTTGCAAATGCACGCACGTCCTTCAGCAGACAAATGCAGAAGGGATGTCTGCAGCTTCACTGTGCAGTTCCTGGTGTGAGTTGACTTGGCTCAGTAACAGCTGATAAGTGGGTTGCTTTATTCATTGGCGATGACCTATTCCCCTTGTACTAAATTTCAGGGCTAGTTCTCAAGGGTTGGGGTCTGACATTTGGGTAGAATATGAACTGTATGCCTGGCCCAGTATAACTTCCCTTTAAAATAGAGACAATAATGATAGATGTGAACATTCTTGGGGCTCTTTTCAAAGTAGATAGTTTTGAGTATCTTTTTTTTTTTTTTTTAAATTTTCTAGCTGAAACTTACAGTCAAATTCTTTTCACTGCCAGACAACCAAACAGATTGGTGCCTTGTGCCAGCCATCATCAGAGAGGCTCCCTCCAGCAGCAGATGTGAGCAGATGAGAAGACCAGACATGAGGAGAGAGCCTAAATTGGAGGTCTCCTTCGGGTTCTTCCCCTTGGGCCTCAGGGAATCCATGGAAAACAGGGCAGAAAATTTGTAGGAGTCAGAGGGGATGAAGGAAACCAGGAGAAGATGACCTGCTGAATCAACTAAGCAGAGCTCACGGGGACTCACAGAGACTAAAGCAGAAAGCACAGACTCTGCAGGGTCCTCTGCATATATGTTATAGCTGTTAGCCTCGCGGTTTCTGTGGGACTCCTAACTTGGCGCCGTGTGTCTTTGACTCTGTGCCTGCTCTTGGGACTCTTTTCCTCTTGTCGGGTTGCCTTTTCCAGCTGCAGCGTGAGGGCTTTTGCCTTGTCTTACTACATTTTGTTTTGTCTGGTTTGGTTGGTGTCTCTTGGAGGCCTGTTCTTCTCTGTTGGGAGATGGCAGAAGAGTAGATCTGGGGTAAAAGGGAGGTGGTAGGGAGCTGGGAGGAGTGGAGAGACAGTAAACTATAGTCGGGATGTAGTGTATGAGACAAGAATCTTCAATTTAAAAAAAGACTAAAACAATAAAGTCTTATTTTCAGTTTCATTTAAAACACTAGTTGTCAGATTTGTCTATGTAAATCATATTAATACAAAATATAAACTATCTTCTCTGAAATCAAAACAAACACAAGGCCTTAAATAAAACTGTTCAGAGTTTTCAAAGAAGGCAGAGAAGTCTCTTCTTGCAAACTGAGGCCCAGACATCCACTGGCCATGGGAAGGGACAGGAAACAGTGATAAGGATGAGGAGGAGGTCACAGCAGAAGCAGCAGAGGCCAGGGTTACCTCCATGTGTGAGAAGGTTTCTGTCACACCACTGAAAGCTACAGAACAGATAAGTGTATTCTCAAATCAGTGGGATACCACAGGCAAACAAACATCCTGTACTTTACTGGGATTCAACTGCGCCTGTGTTTTCATAAACAGCTGGGCACAGGTTTGCCACTGACACTCATGTTTAGGTTTGGCATGAGGCTTCCCAAACAACAAAGCAGGTGACATTCCACAAATACACGCTTCTAATAAATCATTCTGTCAAGTTAGACGGTAACATTTACATCTCTTCCTTCCAACGCCTAATTGGCTAATCAGTTGCAAGTCCAAATTACATAGTACTGAAGGCAATAAAAAACATAAGTGTGTAAACAGCATCACAATGGGCCATTGTGCTGTCAAGTTTACCCTGTTGAAACATGCTATTTCTGTTTGGGTAAAGAAAGACTTCATAATGAGACCATTTTTATGAAAGCCCTAATCAAGCAAAACCAAGGAACACAATATTTAGTTTAGGGTACGTATTATTTTAAAAAGGATTAAATCTTAGGGTGGTAAAGATTGCAAATAGAAGGCAAAACAACTGGCCAGAAAAGAAAGGTGTGTATGCATGGTGTGTGTGTGTGTGTGTGTGTGTGTGTGTCTAAACAGCAATGGTGGTCAATCTAGCTTCTTGATAATTTATGCCCATGTTGCACACTGTTTCATCCAGTTATTCTATCATTAAATGTTTTCCAGTCCCCCTCTTGCCCACAATGTGCAGGCAACTGGAGAGAGAGCCCGGGAGTACAGGAGACAAAGAGCATGGCAAGCTTAGCTTCACAGAGGGAGACGCATGCTGATCTCTGCACTAGTTCTAGCTGGATTGCTTATGGGGGTTTTACAGGACTTGAATGGGTAAGGAGACCTGCTAATATCTATCGCTACACATTCAGTCAAAACCAGATGTGCCCAAAGGTGGAATTAAAAAAAATATATGA